TTACCCCATCGGAGCTCAAGAATTGCAATCGCATAAAATATGCAAATTAAAACATCTTTGTTCCCATATGTATTCCCACTTGTAAGAAGAACATTTTACAACTCGTGTGTTTCATTCAAGATGGCCGACTGTCGAATAAGGCCAATTAACATGTGACAGACAAATCTGTGCAGAATTCTGATGGATTTACAGGAGATGTGTAAGGACTTGGAGGACAGCAAATACCAGAATGCAGAGTATCGGATATCCATCTATGGGCGTCGTAAAGATGAGTGGGACAAGCTGGCCAAGTGGGCCGTCAACCACCGGGTTTACTCAGACAATGTCAGATGGCTCATCCAGATTCCCAGGCTATAGTAAGTTTCCTTGGACCACTGCAGGGCAATATATTAGGGCAATATTCTACTTCCTGGGTGAGTATCATGGAGCTTTTGATTGACAAGAGAATTTAGGAGAAGTTCATGGTCTGCAGTATGATTAAGGGTATTTGGTAAAAGGAAAACTTGACAGAAAGTTTTTTTTCTTAGATTTGGTACAGTAAACTGTTGAATTTGAAATTCTAAGTTTCGATGGCTGCTGGGTTTGTAGGATCAGATGAGATTTGGCTTAATAGCCCCATGTTTGTCTTTGAAATTAACACCACTCAGTGATGTCTACCGGTCCAACAAGATGGTGGGCAGCTTTGCCGAGATCCTGGATAATGTCTTTATGCCTCTGTTCAAAGCAACAAAGGATCCAAAGTCGCACCCGGAAATACACAAGTTCCTGCAATACGTAAGTATCGTCAAAATCCGTGGATCCACAAGATGTGGACGCCTAGTGTATTTTGGTTGCAAGTCCACCTTTATCCTGATAATGTCTACGTGCAGTTGTTTGAAGCAACCAAGTATCCCATTGTAGAGATGCAAAGAGTATTCCATTTTTGTGGCTTAAATGAGTGGATCCACTTGAGATCCACATTTCGAGATCATAACACTAACTTGTCCACTTAATCCTTGCACTGTCTTTATCATATGATTTCTTAAGACAGCTCAGAAGTCTGATCATCTCAGAATCAGCCTGTAACACATTTAGTAGATGTGTCTTTAGCATCCGTCTTTGGAATCTCACCTTGGCCTTGTCCTGTTTCTTTGAAATCTAAGTAACTTGGTTTGTGGATCAACTAGGTGACCGGCTTTGACAGCGTGGATGATGAATCAAAACCAGAAGATGTAATTTTTACCTCCAACAGTCCGGAGCCAGAGCAGTGGACGTCAACGGATGATCCACCTTACGCTTACTGGATTTTTTACATATACGCCAACCTTGTGGTCCTCAATCACTTTCGAAGGTAAATAATTTCAGTCTTCTTGGCAGAACCCTCCCCTTCATTGCCACTTGTAGGTATGCCTTATTCTAAAACTGGAATATTGACAGTTAATCATATACTGGCTGATGTGTCCAGGTTGACATTGTTAACCACAAAGCATTCACTTTCCCTTCATATTGACATGAGTCGGCCAAATCTTTCCCTTCAAGTTGAAACCATGGTGCACTTATTAGTAATAACACAAACTGGGCCATATAGATACCACAAATCACACTTATCAAGCCACCTGTTTCTGTCCCTCAAGACAAACGCAAACGGTCGTCTCGGGTTGACAAGTTGCTAATGACAATGCGATCATAAAGTCCTCTTGAAGAAGTGCAGATGGAGCTTCTTGCAGGTGATGACGTGTTTTGAACTGTAACTCCTCCGGGATTCATTAACTGTAACTCCTCCCGAACTCATTAACTGTAACTCCTCCCGGAGTCATTAACTGTAACTCCCCCCGGACTCATTAACTGTAACTCCTCCTGGACTCATTAACTGTAACTCCTCCCGGACTCATTAACTGTAACTTCTCCCGGACTCATTAACTGTAACTCCTCCCAGACTCATTAACTGTAACTCCTCCCGGACTCGTTAACTGTAACTCCTCCCGGACTCATTATCTGTAACTCCTCCCAGACTCCTTAACTGTAACTCCTCCCGGACTCATTAACTGTAACTCCTCCCGGACTCCTCGTGAGATTGAAGTAGTAATAAACTGTAAATGCTACCTGTGCAGAAATTGTTTTGAGAGCAAACGTCATCTGAACACCTTTCTCCATTTATTTCCCCCACCAAAGGGTGCATTCGAGCGAGCTACTTGCGTTGACACGAGTATACTCGTGAACGCTTGAATAGCTGGAGTACATCCCAAGGGTCATCAGTGAGAGTATACTCTTGCTAGAGGAGAGTATACTCCTGTACCTGAGTGTAATGCGCACGCATCCTACTCGTGTAAACAGGAGTAACCGCGCAAACGCACTATTAGTGTTAAAGTCGAAACTGTCACAAAACCAAAGGCAAGACCAGGCACAACACCATTTTCAAGACTAGATGCAAGCCAGTCACAATACCAGTCCTGAGTACTGTAGTCAACGTTGACAAAGGAATGCTTTTGGTGCACCTCACCTAATTAGCTTGTGACTTGAATTCAGACTTCATGCCTCGGAGTGGTCTTGTGGGTTCTTCTGATTATCTTGACAGGTCTTGACAACAGCAAATTATCAGATTGTTATTTGTCAGAGCACCTGTCCTGCTCACACTTGTTAGCAATTCTTTTCACTCTATCAGGGAGCGTGGTTTCAACACCTTTGTCCTCAGACCGCACTGTGGAGAGGCTGGCCCCGTCCATCATGTGGTCTCTGCCTTCATGCTGGCAGAGAACATCTCCCACGGATTGCAATTGAGAAGGGTACGTTTTTTCCAGTGTTGTAGTCATGCCCTCATGATATCATCATAAGATCCTACAAGACAGTTATAAGACTCTCACAAGACCCCACAAGGTCTTCCCATGACAAATGTAAGACCCCTCAAAGCCATCAAAAGGCCAGTGTTAAATCCCACAAGACCATCACAAGAGTCCACAAGATGATACTAGACTCAACAACACCATCAGAAGATCTCACAAGATCCGACACAAAAACCCAGCAAGACCATCTTGTAACCAACATAATACCCCATTAGACCCACCAAGACCATGACAAGACCCAACAAGACCATTGAGAGACCAGAGTAACCCACAGGACGCCAGGAGACTATTACCTGACCCTTCCAAGCCATCAAAGGACCTGGAAACCCTCAGGTGACCATCACAAAACCTTATGAGACCATCACACAACCAACACAAGACCCATAAGACCCACCAAGACCATGACAGGATCCAACAAGACCATTGGGAGACCAGAGTACACTGGACACCAAGAGACCGTTACCTGACCCCTCAAAGCCATCAAAGGACCTGGAAAACCCTCAGATGACTATCACAAAACCTTATGAGACCATCACAAGACCAATAGAAGACCTCGCAAGACCATCCCATCTCTAGACCAACACTAGACCCAGTAAAATGATCACAACCATCTCAAGACCAGTAACAGGCTTCCCTTCTTAATTGATGACAAAAGCTATTCAAGCAAACAGCAGTAAAGATTTCCTTTGTTAGTGTTAACCCTCTTTGAGACAGAATTTGACATCAGGTGAGCCACGGTCCAGGAGTGACTTAGCAGAGCTTTTGTTGCACTGAATTTTTTTCAAGCAAATCTGCCTCCAGTTGACTTGAATACATGTGCCTTGAGTCACACCTGGCTGAGATCTCATGTTGTCTCAAGTCAAGGGACTCAAGCCATTAAACGATGACTGGTAACAACTCACCAGAGTCGCTGGTTTCGTAGAGAATTAGTTTACAGAATATGTATCCTGGGCACCTGGCAAATTGACCAATGGTTTAACGTTGTCACCGCTTAAACTCGACAGATTGTAGGTAGAATTAACACATCTCTGTCTCTCTATTTCCTTTCACCAGACGCCAGTGTTGCAGTATTTGTACTACCTGGCCCAAATTGGCATTGCCATGTCCCCCCTCTCCAACAACTCCCTCTTCCTTAACTACCACCGCAACCCTTTGCCTGAGTTCCATGCCCGGGGACTGTGCATCTCCCTGTCCACAGACGCCCCCCTGCAGTTCCATTTCACCAAGGTAAGAGGCAGTGTCCTAGTCAACACCATCACAAGGCTGCAGTCACAAAGCCAATCAGAAGATTACCTTAGGACCAGTTACCACACGGCTGCAAAACAATTCACAAGACCAATCAGCGGAACAGTTGCCAGACTATTCACAAGTCTGGTTGTAAGACCTTGTAATGCAAAGCCTGTAGGCCATGCCCTAGAAAACCTGTCAGAATATGTACGTACAGTGGAACACAGATACATGTTCAATGTAGGAAGAGCACTGTTAGTACAAGATCAGATTTATAGCAAGGACAACTTTAGGTCCCAAGTTTTCCTGTTTTCCATTGCTGATAATCCAAGGTAACTATTAATAACAACAACCTTGTTATAACAATGTGTAACCCCCGTCCCAAAAGAGGTCTTGGATAACAATTTCAAATTTTATTTCTTTATGACTATGTTTTCCTTTTGCATACTTAAATTGTTCTTTCCTGAGCTTTGACTTCTCTACTGGTGAGCAGTGTTCCAGTGGTGAACCTTTGATGTATTGCCTATTCCTTTTGTCAAATAGCCTGCTCTTCCTTCAGTTTATCTTAAATGTTCCTGCTTTCCTAGGAAATCACAGGATGCTCTTTGTATCCACTGCCTTTAATCTCTGACTGGTACACCAGTGTGTACCGGTACTCTCCCAGTAAATTTTATAGGAGATCAGCAGGATGTTGAGACACACTTAATCCCTAGTTGTTGTTCATACCTTACCCAAGCTGTGAAAGCCATAAACTTCTGCTGAGTGCTCATCTGCCTAGATACTGGATGACCAATCAGTATTGGAGTCATGTGTGGCACTTTCTAAGTTGTCCAATGAGAGCCTGAGCTAGTCATGTGGCAAGGGCATGTTCTGGGGAGCAGTTTGCCCCAGAGTTTTGGCAAGCTGGGCATTCCAAACTTTGCCGTCGTGCTGACTACATGCCTGCCGAACTTTTGTCTGCGCTCTGCACTACTTTTCTTTGGACTGGAGGACTTCAAAATCCAAGTCTTCCCCTTATGTTCACGAGTGTTGGCTCGCTATCTTAGTTACTGAACTGCATGTTCTGAAAGAGGGTGCCGGACGGGAGTTTCTGTAGTCCACCTGAAGAGCTGTCTCCAGGCCTCTCAGCCACCAAGCTACATAAATTGTGACTTGCCGACACAACATAAGTACACCAAGGCATCTGCGGCACTAATCACCAGCATGAACCTTGCAAGATCCGCAAGTATTCTTTTGCGTTACATTTCTTCTGCTGAACTTTGCCCTTCACTTTTGCCGACTGCCTATACAACACAACGGACTCCTGTCATCCCACCTTGGAACGACTCGTCGCAACTCATCTGTACATCTAGAACATTGGCGCCAAATTATTTTTCTTGAGCTCAAAGTGTATTTCAACTTAGCAGGATCCTGTGTTTTCTGTAAACCTCATCTTTTGATTTGTGGCCACTGGTGTTCTCTGCATTTACTTTTTATTTCTCATATTGATTGGCTTGGCTCTTTCCCTCCAATAAAGCAAAATCTCTTGTGTATCATAAATCCTGAAATGTGTGATGTCAAGAGTTTTTTCAAAAGGGAATTAAATTAATATGAAATTTGGTTCCTGCTATTTTGAAATGTGAACCACGGGTTACAAATGTTCCACTGTATATTGTATGGTCCACTTCGTCAGCATTGTCCCAGCAAACAAGAACCCTACTTCACGCCTCAGTAAGTCTGATTTGTGTTTGTCAACGTCCGTGTGTTGTGTTTACTGTTCGTACCTGTAGTGTCCTATCGTGTAAATAAATAATACATAAGATAGTATAAATATTCATGTTGCCATGGTCTCATCTCTTTATTATTTTATGCAACACTGGGTTTTTATAATGCCTTGGACCCGTGACTAACAGCCCGCAATTTTTGAAAAAGCGCATTTTGCCACTTATCCCCTCAGACATGACAGCAGCAACATTTTTGCTATAAGCTATAAATTTCTAAAATTTTCCACCGGAAAGCCAAGTCTTGGAACGGTGATGGTCTCCGAGAGAGTCAGGCATCTGATCTGCCAACAGACCGGTCATCTAGGGCTGCATGAGCCTTTAGCCCTAGTGATTAAAGTGCTGCATTGTGATCTCCATTGCCCTACCGACTGCCCGAGGCAGACAGGCCCGAGGCTGGCTGTAGGCAAGCTTAAACATCCACTGGCACCGCCACCAAGAACCTAGCCAGGTGTGACACCGCTGACACTTTTCCCGGCTACCTACTCAGAGGTTCCGGCACAGGGTTCCATGCAACGGTTCAGGCAAGGGGACAGCCTTTGACGCGGAAAGCGTATTTTACTCGCGGTGGGCCCTACATACATTTTTTTTTTATCTGATTGCCGGCTTTAGTAAGGTTTTAATTATTAATAATGAAGTGTTAGCATTAAGCCAATATCGAAGGGTTAAATAAACTAATTGATTGTAATTTTCTTTATTTCTTTACAATTAAGAAGTAATTGCAGGAGCCATTTAAATTTCTTCCAGTTATATATCTTGCTTCGTTTTCTGAATGCGGACTATTATAGACTTAATTTCGGTCTCACGTGAAATGCTCCATTATAGATAATTAATTTGATGGTTTTTTTTGTTGTACCTCAGTATTTAGTTATAAGTTATATGTTATAATAAATTTATTTAAATTTAAGAGAAGATTTATATTTGAATCTTGCTGTGTCTGCTTGAAGTTGTCTGGGAGCAAACACTGAGCCGCAAAAATTCATGCTACGGTAGCTTTGGGGGGTAGTTATGACACACTTGCAGGCATAGCGTGAAATTCTTTTGTAAGCATTACACTCTACTGTTATCAATGATCCCTCATCCCATAGTTAAATTTTGAATATCAACAAGCAGCTCACATGTAATCCCCATCCCCCAACAGGGCGGTAGATGCCTCGCAAGTAATGTTTCTTTTTATTTTTTGGTGAACAATGTTGGAGAGAATTGCAAAACTCTAATAGGAATTCAAAGGCCAACCCTTACACAGTGGTGGATTGGATACAGGGGGACAGTGGGGTAGGGTCTCGGATCAAAGTTGGGGGGTCAATGTAAGACGGTCATATTCATGAGAATTTTTCTTGCCTTTATCATCACACTTAACTTTTTCCAAAGATAGTTTACCCCTTTCTAATGTCGTGCATTCAAGACTAGACCACATGTTGGTCAGTCTCGGAAGACAGTGGAGTTGCACCAGAGTTGGCCAGTCAGTGGTTGACTTGCAGCATCTGCTTTGGCTGAACCTGCCGATCCTCGAGTGGCAGGCTCTGTTGCAGGTGCTGCAGAAGAAGTCTGTGCCTGAAGTCCATGGGAGCTGAGCTACATTTTGCTCGCTGGCATCTGCATCTGCTCTTCTCCTTTTCCTACCCTCTCTCTGCTGAGCTCCTGCCAGGGTCCCTGTTCTAACAGCCTGCCTCCAGTCGGTTTGATGAGCAGCAAGAGCTGCCCAGTGTTTAGGGTTGATGTTGCAAGGCCAGAGGTCTCGCTTGCAGGGGAGAGCTGGTCTACCAGTCTGGAGCCAGGGACAACTTCACTATATGATACTTCCTTTGGGATTGGGCCATCCGGCACATGGCCAAGCCAGCGTGCTTGGCATGCCTGTGACCCTCGGTACCTCACTGTGAGGCACACGGTCCAGCCAGGTTATACCAAGAATCCTTTTCAGGCTGTATAGGTGGAAGGCATTGAGTCTGCACTCTTGCCGGGAATGTAAAGTCCACACTTTGCTGCCTTAACCCTAACCCTCCAAGAGTTGCTGGCCCTAACCTTCCCCATTCACACAAAGTTGCACAGAGGCTGTTGGACTTTGTTTTTCTGAAGTATGCCAAACCCAATGCAAAAGCCAGCTGTTATGGGCCTACCAGACCTATCCCCACAGAATTAAACACTTTACTACTGTTTAATTCTGGGTGGTTGGGGAAGGTTAGGGTTAAAGAAGGGTGCTAAGGACGCAGGCCCTTGGTATTGGTAGTGAGTGTGGAGTTGTCCCACACTCTCTTGGCTAGGTAGGCCATGGCTGTTGAAAGCTTTGCCGAGGGGTAGGGGGAGTTCAGCTGAAGAGTCCACAGAGAGGTTTGCTGGAGATGGTTGAACCAAGGAAGATGAAATCGTCCACGACCCCTAGTCTGTAGTTACTGTATCAGTTGAGATATTGGGAACGGATTGGATTCATTTGGCGTTACCTCACAATTGAATAGTACCAGGGATAGCCCATGAAAGTTTTGCAATTTATTTCCAGTGGGGTCCCTATTGAGTTAGGAAGTAGGTACAGTTTTAGAGGCAGGAGGAAACCAGAGTACCCGTAGGTAACCTGTGAGAGCAAGTATGGACTGGAAACCAAATGCACTTAAAGCCTGGTCTGAGCCGGGACTCAAACCCGGGGCCTCATTGGTGCAAAGTGAGGAAAGAACCGCTATACTAACGCACTCCCCCAGTGGAGGTGATATGTTGCCCCTTGTTGTTGGTCTGTTTAATGAGATTGATCATAAGATCAACTCCTTGCAAACCTGTGTGACGCAGTTTGTGTTGTAGGCCCTCCTGTGTGTGTGCTACTAGTGCTGCATTGTTTGCAAAAATCTGTTTCCAGACGAGCACTGCCTTTATTTGGTCTTTGCCTTCAGGCAAGCAAGGCCGACGATTAGGCCACCGTCACATCTGGTAGGGAACTAGATCCCATCCTCTGACTGGGCAAAGGGAAATGATGCCAAAGAGGGTTGGCACCAAAAACACAACCCCTGCTTGATTCTGTTCTTGATTTTAAAATGGGTTTGAGATGGAGCTGCCATACTTGATGGTGCCTTTCAAGTTCTCGTGGACAGACACTGATAACGAGAAGCTTGGGAGGACAACCAATCTGCTCCAGGAGGCTGAAGAGGCCTTTCCTGCTGACCAAATCAAAAGCCTTGGTCAGGTCGATGAAGGCGATGTGGAGTGGCTGCCTTTATCCTTGACATTAGAATAACGATATGTTCTGCAACATTAGAATAATGTTATAGAACGAACGTTCCAATGTGCTAAAACATTAGAATGACTTGTTGAAGCCCCCAAATTCTTCACTGGGAGGCAGAGCCAAGCAAGGCTTTTTATATGGGTAAAATCCAGAAATTAGGCGTCCACAAGTGTGACATGTTTGTGTCCCTGACCTTTGTTATTGGACATGGAAATATCACCAGAATTGATTTCAAACTGTTGCTATTTGTTTTGCAGGTAATTTGCATTGATTCATCACTCTTGGAAATTAGAAAATGTGTTCTGAACTTACAAAATCATAGGCCTTTGTTAGATGTGACAGGGACACGAAAAAAAATGGACTCCTAATTTCTGGAATTACCCAGTTGTCAATATGTAGATGAATAATATTGGAAAAAAATACATGCAACTATCTATACCATTGGAATTGGATTGACAACCTCTAAACACGCATATTCTTACTCGGCTGCTGTAGTAAGGCCATTCGATCCAATATCCACACGGCGCCGTTTAGTCTGTCAACTGCAAGCGATTCATGGGGTGTGGACTCTGGAATGTACTGTACATTCGTGTAGGTGTTGAATTGTTTGGTTTCTTCTGATGTGCGTCAGCAGTTACCATCGTCAGTGGGGCTAGGATGAAAGGGTGAGAGAGTGAATTTGGCAGGTTAATGGTGCGACTTTCCCAAGCTTCACGAGTCACCGTTTTTTCAACATGGGTGAACATTTTCAGCCCTTTCTTTTCAGCATTCCATTCAATTCAATTTCTTCCTGCTGACGTCAGTCCAGGCAGAACTTTATCACAGTGGTGTCTCCTTTCGTGTAAGCCTAGGCCTGTCTTAGCAGTGTGTCTTATTGGTTCAGTGCAGGCGGTTTGTACATGTACCTGCCTTTTGATTGGTTAAGAAAAAGAGATTTTACTGTTAGTATTTTATCAGATTTGTGCGAAACTGTGCAGTCCACTTTTTTTGGGGGGGGGGAGAGATGCATAGAGGACCTTTTTTACACATTTTAATTATGTAGCAGTTTTCAAGTTCTGCCCACAAGAATGAATGTAGGAACTTCTGGGTAGGAACCATCTCAAAACAGTTCACAGGACCAGTCTCAAGACTCCAGTCTCAAGACTGGTCACAGGACCAGTCACAAGACCGGTCACAAGACCAGTCACAAGACCGTGCAGTGAATAGCATGCAGTTATACAACATTGCTGCTACAAATTTATGTATATTTGTTTGTGACCCGTAGGAGCCCTTGGTGGAAGAGTACAGCATTGCTAGTCAGGTCTTTCAGCTGACACCATGTGACATGTGCGAGCTTGCCAGGAACAGTGTTATCATGAGTGGCTTTCCAAATGAGGTCAGTGAATAAATCAAGTACCAGGACATCTACAACATGGTTTAAAACTTGTAGCCATTTCAACTAGCTTAGTTACGAATGTAGAAAAAGTGCTTACCGTGTTTTAAAACTGCACCACTGAATCAGTGGTCGGCTATCCATGCATTTCATAGAAACATTTGTGAATAAGTATGGGAAAGAATATCGTACAGTACCAGAAGAAATACCTGTTGTTTGATTGGTGGGTTGTTAACCATGATTGATTCAGACATTGTTTAAAACAAGCAATGGAAGCTTGAAATTCCTGCAGCAGTAGGAATAATTTCATTCTATGTCAGATTAATTGTTCCATTTCTGTCCGACTTTACCTCCTGTGTAGCATGGGTCTTTATTTTGTGCTTTCTTTTTTTAAACTCATATCTGCCATTAAAGAGTCGATGAAGCACCGGCTAATGGTTGGAAAATAGCATATTATGTGGATACAGCAGTCGGTTAACTTAATCTTGAACGGTTTAACATAGTTGCCAGAAATTAAATTTCTTTTTACTAGTTTGACTTACCAACAAAACCTGTTTACGATTGGGAACAGGTACATGTATGTGACTCACTGGTTTCAAAATTCCATTCATAAATACATGTACCATTTTAGGAAATCAATGTACAATGAATTCCCAAGGATTTTGTCATGCGAAGTTTACTTTCATTTCCCTGACCACCCCTGTCCGTTTTATGTTATATTCCTTGTACAATTTGTCCAGAAGAATCTCCATATGTGGACTCGACGTACGTACATGTAGCGAGTTCTGTGTGCCGCATGTATACATGTATAGAAAAATGAAAATGAATAGAAAAATATCCTAGGCATTTAAGGATGTTTAAGACCAGCGGCCAATTACATAGAGCTGCTTCAGCACAAAATTTGCTTAAACCCCAGAAAACCTTACTTGATAAAACAAGGAACCAGCCAAAATTCCATGTGATGTACAGTGGAATGCCACCATAATGAACACGATGGGGTCCACACTTTATGTTCAGTACACGGGTCGTTTGGTATAGCGAAACGTTTAGTTGCCATGTTGAATAGCTCCCTCTCTTGTCTAACTAAATTGCACCCACTTAAGATACCATCATTCACTGTTTTCATGAGGTTTTGCCGTTGCATTCACGTTTGAGGTTTCTAGAAATGTATCTGTTAATTGTTTTTGTTTTTTATTAAATCTTGAGTTACAAAATTGATTTTTAGTTTATCCTAAAAGTCGTGAAGCTTCCTCTCAGGATCGATCCCTGATACATGCTGTGGCGAATCTCTGTTGATTTGCAACTACATAATGTTCGGTAGGTTTGTGCACAAAATATTGGGAGCCAAGGACGATGTTTGGTACAGCCAAATGTTCAGTATAACGGTGTTCGATATAGCGGCGTTCCACTGTATATTGTTTTGGGATTGTATTTAGGTGTTAGAGTCTGAGCTGGTAACCTTTGTTTATTAAACATTTTTTTCCCTGCTTCCAGGTTTTTAAAGTTTTTCCCGCTTAAGCAAATTTTGTGCTTAAGCAGCTCCATGAAATTGGTCCCAGCGTTAAGACCACCATCAGCTGTTTCCATGCTTCTGATTCTTTCTCAAATGAAGGCCGGCCAGTCGTAGTTATTCCCTTCTTCTCCCATGAGCATAAATTATGTGAATAGTAAAACAGCCCTGCTCGAGAGACAGATGAGTTTTAGGTTTCATTTTACTCCTACAGTTTAAAGACCACTGGTTGGGGCCCCATTGGCGTAAGGATGGTCCGTCAGGGAACGACATCACACGCACCAATGTTCCAGATATCCGCATGGCCTTTCGGGATGAGACACTGACTGAAGAACTCACCACCCTCTGCCGGTCGGTCAAGGAGGTGGCGCTCCATATCAGCGTGGAAACTGTACCAAAATTCTGATGGTCGACCAAGTAGGAATGCCAAGATGGCCAGACGGGTCCCCCATAAAATGAGTATGAACTTTGACCTCTTAACTTATGACAGTGTAAGGAATTAAACTGTATGACATTGATCTAACTTTTGAACTTCAAAGATAGGATTTCTTCGCATTGTATGTACATTGTCCTAAGTTCAAGATTCGGCTTATTTGTGTGAAAATCAGTGCCCACACAAGTTACATACATTTGTTAAGCGAAAAAGACCAAACTAAAGGTTTTACTTTTTGTATTCATAATTTGTCATAAGTGTTTATTAACCAGGGTTTAAAGATGTGAAAGTAAGTTTTACTCGCAAAGAAGACGGGTACTGTAGGTACTATATGTAGCGTGTGAACTTTCAAAGACAGGCGTGCAGACCGGCCACTGCGTGCTGGCCCCCGGAACAGTCACAGAAAATCTCGCTTTGCCTTGATTTGGGGACGACAAGCATTTTATCTTTCCAAAAATACCAAAAAGAAAACACAAAACACATTCACTGATAGAAATATCAGTTCGGGGGGTTTCAAAGTCTTCAGTGAATATTTTGTCTAGTTTCGATCACTAGCAGCAGTTGCACAGTGGCGCATGGCATACATAGTGTGGACCTCTGCAAAAAGTCCACATAATGTAGGGTGCAGTGACGTTATGTGGACTCTCACACGTCCACACAATGCTTTCCTCTCTCTCAAAAACTGTTTCAGTGGCATTTTGGGGTCAAGGTTATCTATGGCAAAGTGAAGAGGAACAGTCAAGGAAATCATCAAAAATCCAGCTCGAAGGAGTTATCCTAGTTGGAGAAAAAGGAGCATTTTCCTCAAGTTTCCTTAACCACAGGAGAAGAAATGAATGTCCACACTTTGTATAGCTGTATCGGCCGGTGTTTAAAGAGCAACTCAGGATGTTACCCAGATGTATCTCGTCAAGCCCCCTCAACCCTTACCCCCTAGGGTGTATGTAAACTCGTGCTAAATGGGAGGATTTTGGAATCTTTGGGCAATACCTGGTTTAAACCGTGAGGTAAACATCAAGTTTGGGTGAAATTTTTGCTCTTCAGTAATTGAAAACATTAATGACGTTGCTTCAAAACAACTCAAAGGAGGCAATCTATGGTAATATTGCATGGAAGGAGATTGTAATGTGTAATTCAACATTTAAATAATACATAGCGGAAGATTTGGAACGCTGCTTCATTCGGGAATGGGCCGACGTTCCACTGGGGACATGGCATTCCCATCCGATTGCTACCTCAGAACAGTCTATTCACAAACCTAATTGGTGTCAAAATGGCTGAAAGATTACTTCTGAAGGCTTGGTATGATAAGAACGCACTGTGAGGATATTCGAAAAATATTGAAGGGGTAGATTATGCTGTCGGGTCTTTCGGGGTTAAACCAAATTAGTAGATATTAACCGAATGGGCCATATATTCACAAGTCGGGCCATATTGAATTGAAAGTGAGGTTAACTTTTTTGTCATTTTGGCAAAACCTCCTTATGAATTAATTCTAATGAAGACTTTAAAAATTTGTGGTTAATCATATCCAAATGTTTTAAACCTTTTCAAAAAAATGAAAGTGACTCACTGAAACCAAAATAGTCACCCCATTTGAGAGATTCTGGAAACATGATCAAAAATGGCTTCCCTGAGAACAAGGTCTTTTGTCACTGAAGCTTCCTATGCCAAATGAAAAATAGCTTTTTTGGGAACACTGTTAAAGTTATTCCCCAATCTTGTTCAGTTTTCCCAATAGTTTAATGTAATATAATGCTGAGTACAGTGTGTACAAGGTTTCTGGTAGCACTATGGAAGAATATCTCTTTTTTATGTGGGTTCTGAAAAGGACCAGGGGGTACTTAACCTTTCAGACAGCATGCTCTGTCCGTCATCAGGAGACTGCAGTGGGATTCCAGTAGTGAATGGGATGGCAACATCTAATATCCTGATGACGATCCAACTCGATCGAGGTATCCAGATAGCAGGACAGCGGTCTATAACCTGCCGTATCTGCTGGGAAGCCTACCCATACAAATAGATACCTCCACAGTGCTTCCTTCCATCACCTCAAGACCAAGTCTTCTGTCAACCGGGCCCTTGTTGTAGGGCATACAACATCTGCAACAAGGAGCACTTCACCCAAGGAGTCTATCAAGTCACCACATAGTGCTGTATCAGAATGGATACAAGTCAAGCCAAATGAAGATACAAGACCCAAGATCAACCCCTGGCCAAAGGGTCAACTTTACCCAAAGCTAATTAGTCTAGGGCCCCTTCTTCCCTACCTACGCAGTACTTCCCATCACATCCTGTGCATCCTCCACGAGCGTGCACTCGAGTGTACTGTACATACAGCCCTCCCAAAGATGGATGAACCTGCTAACCTCGCATAAGAATTGGCCTGGCGAACAGCACAAGCCACGAGTCTACAATCCCCTGCCAATGTGGCAAAGAGTACCGTACATTGGCAAGACTGGCAGGGACCTCCCAACCAGAATCCATGGCTGAGTTCGGCAGCTTGTTCCCGTATGTTAACGAACAGTTTGATTTGTTGTTATTGGGTCGGCCGCTCGAACGCCAGAAAGAAACAAACAACTGCAACATGGCTGCGTCAATGTACGTTACTCGAGAGTTAAGGTTTGGATGGGTTGAATTCTTTTCTATATAAACAGGAACATTCATTTCTGTGTTTGGGAAAATAATTAATGTCAATGTTGCAAAACTTCCCATTGTCTACATGGTCTATGGCTTTGGAGCCAGCTCTCCACTTTTTGCAGCTGTTCAAAAATCAAAATCTCAAGAGTTTTTCTGTGTGTTCCTGTAAAACCCTGACGAGGAGGTGGTGTGTGGTCCTGTTTTGAGAGCAGTGTTCTTGAGTCGTGTTCCCGCCGTTCGAGCGCGAGAACAAGAAACCCGTGTCAAGAACAGACCGCCGGAACTTGACCTATGAGCACAGTGCCCATGGCAGAATAGGGAAATTTGACAGGTTAACCATCATCAAGCATTCCCACACAGAAGACCACAGATCAACTGGAGCCAAGCTGAACTCACCGCAAACATTGAACATTGGTACCCACGCCGCATCAGGGAAGCCATAGAAATCTTTGAGCACATCACAGTTCTGCGACCTCTGGCGCCCCATCCTCACATCCCATGGGTTCCCTATTTCCTGGGACAAGTTCCCAGCCTATGGGTCTCCTGTACCCTTGGCAACCTTCCCCCCGTGCGCCTAACCCTCGGGCGGACACATCTCGCTGATCATCTGGCCTCCCATTTTCCGCTTGAGTACTCTTGGGTTGGACTATGAGCTAGCATCCCTCTCCACACCTCACTGCCCCCAGACACCATAATAATTAGTGATTATTCATTTGAATAATTTATTCATTAATAAAGCACAAATTTCATATAGATATGTTCAAATGCGCTGTACAATGAAGACATTAAATGTGGAACAATATTAAAATACATTTAAACATGGTTGAGCTGATGGCATACATGGGCGCTCTGAGCAGCTGCCAAACGACCGATGTTCACCAACATCAGTAAAAGGGAGATAGTAAGAAGCAGTTACAGCTTTAGAGGCGGGAGGAATACCCCTGAGGAATAGTCTGGGTAAAACCCACAGAGTCAGGTAGGGACTGAAAACCTAACCCACATGTGGACCGGGCCGGGAATCGAACCTGGGACCACAGAGGTAAAAGGCAAGGAAAGAACTACCGGTACCTTGCCAACCGGACTCCCCGGGTTGAGCCACTTCACCATTGAAAGCCCTACAGTCTCCTAATGACAGATGGGGAGTGCGCTGTCTGTAACGTCGAGTGTCCTGTGGTTCTTTTCAGAACCATACACACCCACAAAAGAGATATCCTTACATGGTGCCTACCGCAAACCTGTTATAGTTGAACCATGTTAATAAAAGGTCTTTCCGACTTACACGTAGCAAATTACCTTGTTATAACGAGAACCGTGTATTATCAGGAATAACGAACATTAAGAAGCAAAGGACAGGGACCTAAAAAAATCCCTTGTTATGAGTAAAACGTTGTATTCACATTGCTTTTATCACAGTGCTGGTTCGACTGTAGTTAATTTGCTACTTTCACTATGAAATGCTTCGAAGCTCATAAAGCCCGGAAAAAAATTAGCAAGTGGGCAAAAGAGCGTCAGTGAGGCTGACGTGTTTCCTGTCACTGTGGTGTTTGGTGGGGCTTCCCTTTTACAGTGCAGGGTGCTGCAGAGCTCAAAGACTGGAAGATTAGGATCACTGAGAAAAAGTTTACATTATCTTAAGATGGTAAACATGGTATTAGGATTTCTATTTTGTTTGGAACAGTATTAGGTTTTTGGTTTTGAACAGGGAATAGATGTTTTTATTTGAAGGTGCACACATTTTTTTTTACCAAACATTTTTTAAGACTGCTATCAAGGATGTATTTTGTGTTTAGAAAAAGAAATCAAGTTTGCTCTTTCCAAATGTCATATCTGTGAAAAGAAAAAGCTATTATCCCAACAATCACTGAACTCTTAAATTCTTGAGGAAACTGGAAAAAAATTGGCTCATTTTACTGCTTCTCATTTGTTTTTTGAACTTCCAAAATTGTATGCCTAATTGCCTAAAATTGTACGAAGTGTTTATTATTCATGCCAACACACGTACATCACAGACAAGATGGGAAACAAAAGTCATCATCACTGTGGTAAAAAAATTGTCTCCTTCTGCATTGCAAATCATATTCCTAGAAAGTTAACAGACCAACCAAGTTTTCTGCAACATTTTCCAAATTGAAAAATTCAGTTGAATTTTGTAACAGGTACATGATATACAGTAGAAATGGATATTTTGAAGAAGTTTAAATATAGGAAGGTGTACAATAAATGACTTAACAAACTGTGAAATATATGCAAAGTCGGAATATTTTGTGTGTTGTCTGCATATTCAAATTTCTACCTTAATATATGCAAATGAGCCTGCTTTATTTGAATATATGCAGATGAGTTGTGCCCCTTGACTTTTTTCGAAATTGCGCAATCCTAACCTTTAAATATAAGTTCCGAATTATTTCTTTCGAAGAGGCCTGTGGCCTGGTGGTTAGCTAGCTGGCTGCCAGGCCAGGGGACCCCGGTTCAAATCCCGGGGTCCCTGGAAAAGAAGGTTTTTTTTTTTTTTTTTTTTTTATACTAAGTTTTTTAACAAAATTGTGCATGCCCACCTGGGATTGAACCC